GATCTACCTGGCTCTGCCTCCTGAGTGCTGGGACAGCTTCATTCAGTTTTCTTAAAGGGTATGGATGATAGGTTAGGGCAGTAGTGTGGGTGGCCTTAGAGCAGCAACACTGGAGGGTCTACACCCAGCATGGTTGAAAGCTCCTTCATGGCCGCAGAGATGTTGCCACCACTGCCCCATTAACCTTCCACAGCCTCTATTACCCCGAGGCTACATGCACTTAGGGCAGAATTGCATGGAAGTGGAGGAGCAGTTGACAGTCCAGTGACACTTCTTACACTCTTCTTCTATGAGGGAATGTCATAAGCCTGATTTTGATGGCTGTTTGCAAGGAGGCACAGCTAATCTGATGAAGAGGGCAGATATTTTATTATGTAGAGGTGTTCTACAACATCATGGAGGTGTGTACTGAGGAAGTCTGTACTGTGGGAGCACATGCCTAGGAAGCAGACACTGCGGATGCCGTCGTTTCAGCAATGAACACTGTTGGAATTACAACATGCTTCATGTCCATCCTGTGTGGTCACGGTTACAAGTGGTGATTCCCATCCCCATGCACGCTTGTGGCAAGAGTTTCATTTAGGCTCAAACTGGTTCCTTAAAGCAAATGCAAAAGGGTATTTTCACATTTCAAAGCCCACTCACCAACAGGATCCTAGAAGAGACACGCCCAAATGGTGGCCCCTGTACCCCCAACACAGATCAGCAAGAACAAATGGGACATGTGTAATACGTTTCGACAACAAGAAGCAAAAGTTCTTACTATTATTACATTTATTTATTTACTGTGCATATATGTGCCAGTGTGTGTATGTAACCTTCTGGAATTAGGTCTTTTTCTCCACCATGCGATCCTGAGGATTAAACTCTGGTCACCAGGTTTGGTGACAGATGCCCTTTCCCACAGAGTCCTCTCTTTTCCTAGGCAACAATAGTTTTGACATCGAGGGACACTTGTAATCCCAGGTAGAAACAGGAGAATCAGAAGTTCAAGGTCATCTCTGGATATCCATCAAACTTGAAGCCAGTATGGGTTCCATGAGGTCCTGTCTCAAAAAACAAAAACAAGGAGCCAGGGGTGATAAAGTCCAACTTTACTTCCCGTACTTGGGAGGCAGAGGCAGGCAGATCTCAGTGAGTTTGAGACTAGCATGGTCTACAGAGCGAGTTCCAGGCCAGCCAGGGCTATGTCAGACTGTTTCAATAAGGTGGCTCAGCAGCTAAAGGTTTGATGCCTGGCAACCTGGTTTGACTCCCAGGTCCCACATGGTTGAAGGAGAGACTCTTAAGTGTGGCTGCAATTTAGAAAATCAAAATGAAATAAAACAACCTATGTAATAACTATGATATTGTGAAATTTATCAATAAAATGTGTGGATATTATTTACCACCTTATTATACATGTTTGTTCCATCTGGCATTCTTTAGTTGTTACATCTCTGTTGATTTTGTAACTGACCCTTCTATTTGGCAGCCTTGTTGAATTCTGGGAAGATTAGGGTTGGGTCCAACTGCATAGAATAGAAACCCACTCGTGGAAAAAGGTCAGAGATGGGAGCTGTGTACATTCAGCTCTGCAAACAGGAGGTTTTTGTAGGTAGGGTTTTGTTTTATGTGTGCTGGGGAACCCAGGGCCTCCCGTGAGCATGCTGCACCACTAGGCCACCCTCTAGTTCTTTGTGTAGATACTAAAAGCAGGGACAGACTCCATGCTGGGAATCGGCAATTACTAATCATTGGAAGCGTTGGAAGGTAAGTGAGGTCTTTTAGTTTTAAGGTCACTTCACTAAGCAGGGACTGAAGGCTGAGAAGGACACTGTGGTATTTGTGGTGGCTTTGCCTCTAGATGCCCATCAGGGTTAGGTGGGTTGAGTCCTCTCAGCATCGTGATCCAATGGCTCTGACCCAGCCTTGGGTCTATGTTTTGAAGCCCTCTCAGCCTATCCACTGCTTGCCCACTGTGATATCCACAGTGTGGGTTGAATCTGGAAGCATCTAAAAGGAGCTGTGGCCTGGGTTTGTTCAGTATCCTGCTCCCAGAGATGCTGGGATGCCATACTCTGTCTTGTCCTGTAGTGCTGGCATATGCTTTCTCAGTGTTGTCCCCTGGAAAATAAGACAGTAAGAAGGAAGCCCAGGTCTGATTGCTCCCCTCTCCCCTGAGGTGAATGCTGACAGCAGTTCTCTCCCCCCATGTGGTTCAGGCCTGGCTTGAGGCCCGTCTGTAGCTCTGGACAGGATCCCCACCCACACATTCCCAGGGCATGAGAAGCTTCCCTCCCAGATGCCTAGGCCAGGACTCATTTGTTCTTGGGACATCCAGAGAGGCCGAACCATCTGTCCACACCTAATTCCTAGATGAGGACTGATTCAGAGGAGACCAGCTTATTAGTGTTTCCATGGATAGAGCCAGCCCCTGGGGATGGGTGGGCTGTGATGGGTGCTAGGACTCTACACTCAGACAAACTGAGCTAAAGGCAGAGATAACACTCAGCCATCTCCCACCTGGTCAGCTGCTTTCCCCTCTCACAGTACACAGACCGTCGGCGTTTGCCAGGAATGTAGACTGCTCACACCCTTTTGACCCAGCTCACCATGCTCTGCCTGGCTCGCTACAGCCCTTGGAGACGTGAACATGGGGCCGCTCTCCATACTTTCCCTCCCTCCAGGACCTGTGAGTCCTGAGCCCACAATGGTGCTGAGTTGACTGTACATTCGTGGCAACAGCCACAGCTGTCCCCATCCAGGTTTTTTCCCTGGGGGCCAGAGGTGAGGCACACAGGGAGCTCCAGGGTGAGGGTCGTGTGGCACATAGGTCACATGGGGGTCACGGGGATGCCAGCCAGTATGGACAAGTCTCCTGTGAGTGACTCCTGGTCCACTTCCCATTAGGGCAGCCTAGTGCTGGTTACCTGGGATTGGAAACTCCAGTTCAGCCGGGGATTCTCATAACAGGGCGCCAGGGACTTTTCTGGGAACTGCATTTCCTAAAATTACCCTCAGTGTCCAGATCTTTAAGGGGCTCGCAATGGCTTTATGGGGGTCAAAGTGACAGGAGAGCCTACGCTAACTTAGAGGTCAGTAGTTACTCATATCCAAAGTGCATTGTGGATAGAGTGAATACTCATCTCCGACAGTGACCCTTGGCACCTCTGGCCCAGCTGGCCAAGGGTCAGGACAAGCACGGCCCAGGTTCTGAGAACTGTCAGAAGAAGAGCCAGACACTCTCTGCCCACCATGGGTGTTCCTCCCTGCTGCACCAAGGGCAGTGGCAAGGACTCGACTCCCCTCTGCCCCTCATTTCCTGTGTAACCCTAGCTGGCCTCAAGATATCTCTGTGCTTAAGGCAGAACCAGGTGGCCCCTGTGTTGACAACCTATCCTGGTTTTTGATCCCACCCACCCTCACCCACCCAAGCCTGACCTTTGCAAGGAATGTGGTCTGACTTCATTTCCTATCACTCGGGGCTAGCCCTAGGCTGTGCTGGGGCGGGGTTAGGGGCTGGGGACAGGGGGAGGCTGTGCCTGCTGCTGTAGAGACAGTGCCAGGGGAAGAAGCAGAGAGAGGTTGTGACTTTTTTTTTAACTGTGACCCCTCACCTGCCAAGCTGGAGGGAGCTGGAGGGAGAACACCCACTTCATCTCACACTCCATGCTGAGGAGCTTGTGGTCTGGTCTGCTCAAAGCCACCTGGGGAATAAGGGACAATGTTACCTGGCCATAAGGGAAAGCCAGAGTCAGCTCTCTCCATGGCTAGGCCCCATCTTTGAGTCTTAGACAGGACCAGCGAGGCCTGGCATACAGTTGGTGCTCGGCAGGTGTGTGGGTGATAAGTGGGCAGTGGATGCTGATGCTGACCACAGACGATAAGGGGTGGGCAGTGGATGCTGATGCTGACCACAGACGATAAGGGGTGGGGGCGTATCTGAATGACTCTCTTGTGTTCCTCCAGCCCCTGCACCCCACACCACAATGCCTATGGAACCATTGTGGGGTTTTCTGTTTCACACTGTGATGCATCTTTTGTCTAAGCTGAATGGGCACCAGAATCTTGAATTCTACGTAACTGTAGGACAGTGGCTCCCATCTGCATCTCCTAGGATGTGAAAGATGCAGATTCCAGGGCCTGCAGCTACCTAGAGACTAGGGTCTTAAGGAGCTTCCCACTAGGGATGATAGACAGGTCTTGATTCACATAAGACTGGCTGCAGGCTGCATAGTCTCCTGGATTGAGAGGAGACACTGAGACATGCATGTTTCTTGCCTGGGCTCACCTACCCTATACATCATCTTCTGGTCCGCAGCCTGCTCTACCTGCTCTGGGGCTTCTTAGTGTGGGAGCCTCGTAGCCTGTGAGGTCTGGGGTTCACCAGACAATCCCTACTGCTGGACTGTCCAGGTAGCTCATACATGGGGCATGAGAAGCCCATATTCTGAGCAATGGCGGTGGGGGGAAGAGAGGCTCGAGGCAAAGTCAGATAGAATACAGCCCCACACATATTCAGGGGGACAATTCTCGAAGGAACAGCTCCATACCCACCCTGTTCACAGAGCCCCTGAACCCCACTCCAGAGGGAACACTGGATTGCTTGGTACCCATTTATTTGCCTGCTATCCTGATCATGTCAGAACTAGAAAAGCTCTCAGAGAAGCCATGTCACCCAAAGGGACTGACATGGAAGAGACATCACCTCCCTCTACAACAGGGTCAGCCTGATGTGATGAGGCCCTCTGTTTGTGCAAGTCACATTGCCTCAGGGACAGGGGTGGCCCCAGCCGGAACCTCTCAGTGCCCCTAGTGCAAACGGGGAACCGGAACAGGAGATAGCCTTGCCTCCTAGTACTATTCTTCCAATTCTTCCCTGTCCTGTGGGCATGGAGGGTGAGCTCAGCTGTCCAGTGGGCCCCATAGCAGAGGCACCTCGCTGACTCAGACCCAGTGCCCCTCCCTATAGGAGGGCTGGTTTTCTTAGGGGCGGGTCTGGCAAGCAGTCAGTGTGGAGAGTCTGCCTGGTAGACACTACTGCAGGTGCCCGTAGGTTGGACAGGTGCTTTGCTGGTCCAAAGGCCCTCTCATTGTCTCCAAACGGTGGTGTGGGTTGAGGGGTGGGACAGGTGGGGACCTCAGAGCCATTGTTATCCACAGACCATGGCCTGGCCAACAGCTCGACCCCTGCTGGGGTCCTGTGGAAGTCCCGTCTGCAGTCAAAGTTTCCTACTGCTTCTCCTTAGTCTTGGTGAGTATGGAGGGGGCTGATCCCCAGGAGAGGTAAGGGGACCCAGGCTGATCCCCAGGAGAGGTAAGGGGACCCAGGGCCTTCATGGGACCTTGTATGAGGCTCTACCTGCTCTTTGCTTTCTCCTTGAGCCATCGCTAGGTGGCCTGAGTTCCAGGAGGGTTAGGGACTGAGAACAGTGAAAGGTCTGGATAGTGGGGACACTCCTAGTGGGGACAATCCCTAGGCCTACAGAGTATAGGCTATATGACACAGTGGAGTATGGGGGCCTAGCTTTCTCTACACACAGTGGGTTATGCAGAGGGCTGGGGCTGGAGAGCAGCCCAGTTTTGTCCTGGCCTCTCTTTAGTTTTGTATCCTCACCTCACAGGGTGGATACCACCTCTGCAGACCCAGACGACAAGGATGAGTCAGGTGAGGTCCTCTGGGGGAAACAGAAGAATTTTCTATTCTAGTCTTGGGGCTGCAGGGGCAAGCAATGTTTTCTGTGTTTTACACATGAATACATACCATCCCTTAGTGTCAGTTTTCAAAGAGGCTGTGGAGCAGAAGTGTTGCTGAGCCCAGAGAGTAGCAGAATCCTGGCAGTAGCTGGGCCCTGAAAGGAGCTGAGTTGGGAGGCAGTGGGGCCCTTGGGTGTTAAGGCCCGGGCCCCAGAAGTAGCCAGACTCAGGCAGTATCTGGACCTTGAGACAGTTGAGACCAAGCTCTTAGGTAAAGAAACACCCACCTGCTTGGGAAATGTCAGTCAGGCCTTATCCTCCTAGGAAACCACATTCCTCCATGCTGTGAACGGTGCCAGTGACTTTGCCAGGTGGGTTCAGCAGCTTTTGGCGTGTTCAGGAGCCCTTGTGGGCTGAGCGAACAGATGCCAGACATCCAGGTTCCCAAACTCTCTGTGTCTCATCTGATCTCTCTACTCTCTCTCCTTCCCCACCTGGCTGTCTCAGAGTTAGGGGAGGGACTGTGTTTCATGGTACCTTGCCCTCCAGACTCTCACATGTCCCAAAGAGGGCCACGAGAACCCCAGGGTTCTGAAGGGAGGATACTCTGTGCAGGGAAGCATTTCTAGCGAGACAGTGTTGGGTTCAGACTCCCAGCCCTGTCCCCAGTCTTCCCACAGGCCTCTTTCTCAGCCTGACATGTGATGAGCTATCAGGCCTGAGCATGGAACATGCCAAGGAGCTGGCTATGACTGTGAGACAGAAGAACATCACGCTCCGGGTACATCAGGTCAGTCCCTACCATGGTCCTTGGATGGTATGAGGGAGATGTACTGTGACTAGGAAGTTGGTGACTAGTTTCTAGAATATCTGCTCACCTTGATGACAACTCAGGGTCTGGTCCCGGCTGCCGGCTCCCCTCAGAGCTCCTCTTGCTGCCTAAGCTGACCACTAGGTGTGTGTATCTACTGGGGGCTCAGCTCTCTGGGGAATCTCTGAGCCTGCTATCCCTTCTCAAGTCTGAACTTGTCTTGCTGTCCCTCTCCTGAAGACCTTGCATTGTCTTTCAAGGTTCTGTCCTTGAAATATGGTCAATGGCGGCATAACTCAGGAGGGGAGAGGGAGGCTATTGTGACTAGCCTATATGGGTTCAAGATCAAGACAGACCTGTCCCTTGAGGCAGCGGAATGTTCACGGCACAGTCTGTGAACAGAGCCAGGGTGCAGCCTGTGGCATGTAGGGTGGAATGGAACTGGGGTGCCCCAGGCCACCCTCGAGAGCTATGGCCCAGAACATTCTGAGCTGCATGTCCTGGTCTCCCAGCAGCTGCGCTGTCTGGCACGTCGCCTTCCTAAGCACCTCACCATCGAGGAGCTGGATGCTCTCCCACTGGACCTGCTGCTCTTCCTCAAGTAGGCCTCGAGCCGGGGACTTGGTCTCATCCCCTCTTCGTCTAGTCCTTTACTACGATGTGCAGTGACTGAGTGGCTTTGTCAGGGAGGCACTTAGTGAAGTGTCGTGTGTGTGTGTGTGTGTGTGTGTGTGTGTGTGTGTGTGTCTGTGTGTGTGTTTGAGTCTCTGCTTGTTTGTGTCTGTGTGTCTGTCTATGTCTCTGTGTGTGTTCATGTCTATGTCTGTGTGTTTGTCTATGTCTCTTTGTGTGTTTGTGTCTTTGTGTACGTTTGTGTCTGTGTGTGTGTGTATGTGTGTGTTTGTGTCTGTATGTCTGTGCCTGTGTCTATATGTGTCTGTGTGTTTGTCTGTGTGTGTGTTTGTGTCTGTATGCATGCCTGTACACTTACACAGTAATCAGCATACCCCCCTCTCCATAGCCCAGCCATGTTTCCGGGGCAACAGGCTTGTGCCCACTTCTTCTCCCTCATCTCTAAAGTCAATGTAGATGTACTCCCACGGAGATCTCTGGAGCGTCAGAGGCTGCTGACGGAGGCTCTGAAATGCCAGGTCTGGAATGGTACCTTTTACTACAGTTAGAGACAAAGCACAAAGGGGGCTTGGTTGTTCCCCTGAGGTGCTGAAGCTGGCTGTGTGTGCAGGGTGTGTATGGATTTCAAGTCAATGACGCAGATGTGCGGGCTCTCGGAGGCCTGGCCTGTGACCTGCCTGGGAAATTTGCGGCCAAATCTTCAGAAGTCCTCCTCCCCTGGCTGGCAAGATGCCGAGGGCCCCTGGACCAGGGCCAGGAAAAGGCAGTCAGGGAGGTTCTGAGAAGTGGAAGAGCTCCATATGGGTGAGTAGGCTTAGCCTATAGGCAGCTACATGTGAGGCAATCCACAGCCAGACTGGGTTTCCTAGGGCCAGCTCTCCCCTGCAGTATTCTGTCAGGTCTTGTCCCCTGGGAGGTTTTGCACTTCTGACCTCTCAGCAGAGGCATTGTCTGTCCCAGTTGCTCTCTCCTGATGTCTCTCTGGGGCCACATTCTTGGTCTCTGACTTTGTCCTTGTTTCTGGACAGCCCCCCGTCAAAGTGGTCAGTCTCCACCCTGGACGCTCTGCAGGGCTTGCTGGCAGTGTTGGATGAGTCCATCATCCACAGCATCCCCAAGGTAAGGTCCTGCTACCCAGCCTGGCTTTGAGGCTGCTGGGCCTTGAGACTCAACCTACCACACTCCATCCTCAGGATGTCATAGCTGAATGGCTGCAACGCATCTCCAGAGATCCTTCCTGGCTGGGATCTAAGCTGACTGTCATACACCCAAGGTTCCGGCGGGACACAGAACGTGAGTCCAGAGCCATGTCTATTGGGTAGCAGACCGAGATAGGACAGTAGGGATTAGGGATCTAGCTCTGTAGAGTTTCATTTGCTCCTACCAGTGGCCCCTCCTGGCTCCTCAGCTTGGTCAGTCATAACTTCACAGAGTGAATAGGATTGCCCCATTTTGTCAGTGGGTAAACTGAGGCCATTATGTCATGGCAGGTGTGGGAGGAGAGAGAGTTGAGAGGAGCCTCCGACTCTTACCCCTTGCAGAGAAAGCCTGCCCTCCAGGGAAGGAGGCCACTGTGGTGGATGAAAACCTCATTTTCTACCAGAATTGGGAGCTGGAGGCTTGTGTAAATGGTACCATGCTAGCCAGCCAGATGGACCTTGTGAATGAGTTTCCCTTCACCTACGAGCAGCTCAACATCTTCAAGCACAAACTGGACGAGGTGAATCTTAATAGGCTCCCATGTGCCTGCTGTACCCAGGACAACGGCTCCAGGAGTTACTCTGGCCTTGATGGTCCCTTCTTCCATAGACCTACCCACAAGGCTATCCTGAGTCTCTGATCCAGCAGCTGGGTCACTTCTTCAGATATGTTAGCCCTGAGGACATCCACCGGTGGAACGTGACCTCACCAGACACAGTGAAAACTCTGCTCAAAGTCAGCGAAGGACAAAAGATGGATGCTCAGGTAACATCTACCCCACAAGGCATGTGGCCTGATGGGGGATGCATCTTACCCCACCTCACGGTGCCTCAGTGGCTTCTTCCCACAGGTGATTGCCTTGGTCGCCTGCTATCTTCGAGGAGGAGGCCAGCTGGACGAGGACATAGTAAAAGCCCTGGAGGACATCCCATTAAGCTACCTATGTGACTTCAGCCCCCAGAATCTGCACTCTATACCCTCCAGTGTTATGTGGTGAGCTCTGGTGTCTTCAGGGCTGTGTGGATATTCAGAGGTTCCTAATCCCCACCATGTCCTACAATGTCCCCCAGGCTGGTCGGGCCCCAAGACCTGGACAAGTGCAGCCAGAGGCATCTGGGTATCCTCTATCAGAAGGCCTGCTCAGCCTTCCAGAACCTGAGTGGAACGGAATACTTTGAGAAAATCAGGACATTCCTGGGTGAGTCAACGCACACATGAGGGATAGGCACTACAGGAGGACTGCAGACTCCACAGTCCTTTGCCAAGTCCTACCCTCTCCCTGCCCCACCCCTGGGCATATGTGGGATCTGACACTGATGACTTTGGCTCTCTAACCCCTCCTGACCCCAGTGGTCCAGATGGTTGCTGAGCATAGAAGGGCTTAGGCATTGCCTAGGAAGAAGATAATCTCTGAAAAACTGTGTTAGTCAAGAGTGGGACTATGTTGTGCTGTGAGTTTTCAAACGGAGGCCTCAACACCTGCAGGCGGGGCCTCCATGGCGGACCTGCGGGCCCTCGGTCAGCACAATGTGAGCATGGACATAGCCACTTTCAAGAAGCTGCAGGTGGATTCCCTGGTGGTAAGTGGAGGTGGGAACTCATTGTGGGGGGGGGGTTGGGGGGTGGAATGGAGCTTGAGATAGGCAGTACAGAGTCGCCAGGCTTCCTGAGGAGAAGGGCTTGGGAGTTGGTGGGGGTCCTCACATGGGATAAAGCCTTTTGTCAGGTAGAGCCTCATGAGGGCCTCCTGTAAAGCAGGGGTACAGGAGGGACAAAAGACAGGACTTCATGCTGGGCAGTGGTGGTGCATGCCTTTAATCCCAGCACTTGGGAGGCAGAGGCAGGCAGATTTCTGAGTTCGAGGCCAGCCTGGTCTACAGAGTGAGTTCTAGGACAGCCAGAGCTACACAGAGAAACCCTGTCTTGAAAAACCAAAAAACCAAAAAACCAAAAAAAAAAAAAAAAAAAGACAACTTCATGAGGAGAGGTTGGACCTTGTGAGGAGGAGTTTGAACAGGCTCTGCTAGAAGACGTATGGGCTCCTGAACAGCCCCTTGTATATAGGGGCCGAGGTATTGTGGGCTGTGGTTTACTCTCAGTAGATCTTCCAACCTTCTGGGGGCCAAGAGACCCTGATGGCTACCCTGTGCTGTGACAGGGGCTGAGTGTGGCTGAGGTACAGAAACTTCTGGGGCCACACATTGTGGACCTGAAGACAGAGGAGGATAAAAGCCCCATCCGGGACTGGCTTTTTCGGCAGCAGCAGAAAGACCTGGACAGGCTGGGTTTGGGACTTCAGGGTGGCATCCCCAATGGCTACCTGGTCCTGGACGTCAATGTCCGAGGTGAGCTGGGCTGCTCATGGGCAGAGCTGGGGACTGGAGTCGGGAGTCTGAGTTGCCTCCTCTCTTTGCAGAGGCCTTCTCCAGTGGAGCCCCACTCCTTGGGCCAGGATTTGTGTTTGCATGGATTCCAGTTCTGCTCCCAGCTTTAAGACTGAGCTGAGACCACCACCCCTAAAGCTCCTGGCCCCAGCTCTACAGGGGCCATCTTGACCAGGAAGGACTACCAGGGGTCATTGCCAAAGTTTGAGGACTCTTGAATTCAATAAACAGTGGCATGTGCCCCCTTGAGATGTCTTGTAGTGTTCCTAAGACAAGTCAAGAGAATGACTTTGGAGTTTCTTGTGATCACATAAATACAGCTAGCTCCTCATGATCATCTCTCCCACTAAAGAGTAATGAAATATGGCCCCCTACACAGGTGGTAGCTATTCAAGGCCTTCCTGGTGTGATTGCTGATATCTCCAAGAGTAGTGGAAATCCTGAGACTCCAGCTGAGGGGTGTGAGAGGCCACCACAGTCTAGGCCCTGCCAAGAGGATTCTGTTCCCAATAAGGCTCTAGCAGAGACACGCTGTACAATAGCCTTGTGCTTTTATTTAGATCCACCAGCAAGGGTTACATTCAAGTAACACCGAGTCCCACTTGTCTTGGAATAGGCCGGAAGATCTGGACTCTGTCTTCTCCTACCAACTTGTCCTTTTGGTTGGGTAGGTCCTATTGCTTTATGGGCTCAGATCCTGGGAGCTGAGGTACGTACCAGAGCCAGCCTCCTAGGATGGAGGACATAGCAGCAGGTCCCCTAGGGCCAGGGACATGTATTTCAGCCTAGGCAGGTGTCCTGTTCCAATAGCAGCTCCATTCCTCCTGAATCTGATGTTCAGGGGTCTGACTGCCCTGGATTAGTGCCATTGGCAATGGCCAGTGTCCTAGTGTCCTGTGAGCAGTGTCCATTTGTCCCAAAGGTAACTGACACAGTAGCAGCCACAGAAGGCTGGAAGGCAGAGCCACAGCAAGTGACAAGTACCCTAGATGAACTGGAGGACTTCCTGCAGGTGGAAGAAGAAAGAGACCCATCAGTCCTGATTGGAAGATGCACTCAGAGTCCCTTCTGTGCATGGTGGTGACAGCACCCCTTTGTGGTGGTGACAGCTAGGAGGGTCAGTGTAGGGGCCCATCCATGACAGCTCTTCTGGTCTCAGCCTGTTCTCTTTTTGGGTTTGGGTTGTGGAGGGGGTATTTGTTTTGTTTTTGTTCAATCTGAGGATTGAACCTGGGTCCTTCCACTTGGTTAGGGAAATTCTTTCCACTGAGCTACATTCACTGGTGTGTGTGTGTGTATGTGTATATGTACATACATATATATAATACATATATTTATACATATGTATATATATACACATATATAATATACATATATATTTATACACATATATGTATGTAATTTTTAAAAACTTTTGCTTATTTATGTATATAAGCGCTCTATTTGAATGTATGCCTGCATGCCAGAAGAGAGCATCAGATCCCATTACAGATGGTTATGAGTCACCATGTGGTTCTGGGAATTAAACTCATGACCTCTGGAAGAACAGTCAATGCTCTTAACCACTGAGCCAGCTCCTGTATATAAATTTTTGAGGCAGGCCATCTCCAAGTTTCCCAGATTAGCCTAAACTTGCTCTGCTGCTCAGGCAGGTCTTGAACTACCTGCCGTCCTCCTGCCTCAACCTCCTGAATAGCTGGGATTATAACCTTAGGTCACCAGACTTGGCCTTGGTTCGATAGGTTTTGGATGAGGCAATTGTGTGGCTATAGATGGATCATTAGGCAATGACCGGTGTCACCTGTGACACATGAGAGTTCCCATGAGGCAGATGAAAGGTAGGGACAGCCAGGGGTGTGCAAAGGATGGGAACAAGGGGTGTGGACCATACCTGAGGTGTGGGAAACACCATCATTCCCTGGCAGATCCAGGGAGTGGATCAAATTGGATGGCGGGTAGGCAGTGTTGGGGGGCCTGGTGGTCACATAGGCCAGTGTGGGGCTGGTGTCCAGGCCCATCTCAGACAGGTCGGACATGTTATGGCTATGCATCCACAGGATGACATTCGGGTGGCTGCGGGCCTTCCGCAGATCTCCCAGGTTCTGGCCCAGCAGATTTCTCACACTCTCCACATCCATGCTCTGCAAACGAAGCCAGAGGTTTGGGGAGGAGGTATGAGGATCCGTGGGGCTACCTTCGCTTGTAAAGGACCCGGCACAGTCAGTGCTGCTCCCAGGAATGAGCAGGATGGGCACTGTGGGGCAGAGGTCAAATGCCACTCCTCTAGCTTTGGAACATATGCATCTAAGACCTGGGGTTGCCAGCTTGGCCAACCCCACTCTGTCTGCTGACCTCACAATCCCTCTGCCTCTTTGTCTTGAGTGCTGGGATTACTGATATACACCACAATGTACTCAAGACAAAGAGGCAGGAGGATTGTGAGGTGCAGATCAGCCTGGGTAACAGAGTAACAATACATCTCAACAAAATAAAACAAAACAGAGGTAGCCCCTGGGCCCACCTTCAACGTCAGGGGGTTGAGGTTGGTGAACGTATCAATGTCCATGGAGATGTTAGCCTGGGCCAGGTATTGAAGTTCCTCCAAGGGGGCACCACCTAGAGGGAGCAGTGGTGAGATCCAAGGAGGCAGAGGACTTGTTTGGGGACACACGGGACAAAGGTAGGGAGGGGTACTTAAGGAGAGGCAGAGGCGGGGAGGAAGCACAGGGCAGGGCTCACCAAGGTAGGGTCGTATTAAATAGTAATATTCTCCCACATTACTGGTGTTCCTAAAGACCTCATGAGCCTTGGCGAAGAGCACATCCTTCCGACTCTGAGGGCAGGGAGAGATGTCTGGAGCTCCGGCCAGCCTGGGAGTGGGATGAGGCACATGAGTAGGCTTGAAAGCCCTTAATGGGACCACTGAGTGTATCCTCCATCCTTTTAAGCACTGATTTCTTCTTGCCCTCTGTATAACCCCCCAAATTTAAATCCACCTGGTAACTCAGAAAGTGGCTTTATTTGAAAATAATATATTTCTTCACAGATGAAATCAGAGTAGAAGATGAAGTTCCTAGGTTAGCCCTAAATCCACTTCTTGGTGTCCATATGACAGGTGGGGGTTTAGATACAGACACACAGGAAAGAGCAAGGCAGACTTCCTGTGAGGTTCAGAGGGGCCTGGCCCTGCGGATGTTCTGACTTTGCATTTCTGGCTTCTAGAAGTCCTAGAGAATATATTTCTCATTTTAAGTCACTCAAACAGTTTGTGATGTTTCCTTTCTTCATTTTATGCTTTTTAAATTTTTTAAAAAAATATTATTTGTATGTGTGTGTGTACCACAATACATGTGTGAGGTCAATATTTACCTTCACAGTGTGGGACCCAGGGGTTGAACTCAGGCTGTGAGACTTGGTGGTAAGCACCTTTATGCTGTGTCTGTGTGTGTGTGTGTGTGTACATGCATGTGCATGCATGTGCATGCACATGTGTGTGCAGCCTAGAATTTTACTTCAGGTGTCTTCCTCAGTAGCAATTATAAATTGGGACACTGAGCTGGGCAGTGGTGGTACACGCCTTTAACCCCAGCACTTGGGAGGCAGAGGCAGGCGGATTTCTGAGTTTGAGGCCAGCCTGGTCTACAGAGTGAGTCCCAGGACAGTCAGGGCTACACAGAGAAACCCTGTCTCACCCCCCCCCCAAAAAACCCAAACCCATAAATAAATAAACAAACAAACAAACAAACAAACAAATAAATTGGGACACTGGCCTGATGTTCATCATTTCAGCTAGACTGGCTGGCTGGCCAGCAAGCCCTGGGGATCTCCTTGTCCCTGTTTCCCCAGTGCTGACATTATAGGTGTGGTGATTATCTCCAGCTTTTGTTGGATGTTGGAGATCTGAATTCAGGTACCCTGAGCGTGTGCTGCAAACACTTTACAGGCTGAGCCATCTCCTTTGCCGTTTGTGACATTTTCTTATAGTGGTCCAATAAACCTCTGGGGGCGTGGCTTGGGCCATTCCACCCTATCTCCCCAACCTCAGCTTTCCCCGTGCCTCATGTCGGGAAGATGGTTGACTAGGAGGCTCACCGGAACTCTGAGGGCTGGATGACCTGGATCTGCTTGATGCTCATCCAGCAGAGACGGGAACCCCCGATGGCCACCAGAAGAGCTCCAGTGACTTTGCCGTTATGGTCCAAGAACCTCTGTAGAACTGCCTGGAGGCAGGGCCAGGCTCAGTGGGGCTGAGCAAACCAGACCAGCCAGCTCCTGCCCCATTGCCAGCCCAAACCCCCTCACCTCTGTCTGGTTGTCCAGAGCCGCATCTGAGGCCAGCAGGACCATCACCGTGTCTCCAGATGTGATGTTCCACTGGCCTATTTCAGCAAGGGAGTAGAGGTAGACCAGCGAGCTGATGAGGTGCAGCTGGTCCTCGGGGATGCCATGTGGGTAGATCTGAGGCAGGCGGACAGGTTAAGCTGTAGCTGAGCCCTCCAGCCTCCACCCACACAGACCATCCACACACCTGAGCTAGCTTGGTTTTGACAACGCGCTGACACTCTGCAGGCAGCGGGTGTTGGAGCAAGGGGTCCAGGTTGGCCCTGAGCACACGTGTGCCTAGGCAGGATTCCAGCTGGGTGCAGTCATAGTGCACCAGAAAGAGGTCATCGTGCAGGGTGGCTGCTGTGATGTTGCCACGGACACAGGATCTCCCTACAAGGTGTGACGATGAGCAGTCTGGCGGGCGAAGGCCTGGGATGACAGCTTGCGGCCTTGGGACTCATCTTTAACCCTGACCCCCACTCTGATCTTCTTCACTTTAGCAGGGCTGAATCTTGCTATGTATTCCAAGCTGGCCTCAAACTTAAGATCCTCCTGTCTCGGCCCCTTAAATACCACCATGCCCAGCTTCCTCTACTCCGGGTCATAACCAGACCTTGACTTGCTCCTCAGTTTTGACCTCTAGCCAAGAGCTTGGCACAGACTGGGTCATGATTAGGAATCCAGACTGGGGGAGGCATAGAGTCCCTGGTATAGAGTGGGCACACTGACCTGTGCGCCGCTTGGGCCTTGAGGACACTGAAGTGGCCTTGGACTCCAGGAAGTTGACAACGAAACGCCTGGCATCATGCCTGCTCAGCTGCCCTGCCCGGCAAGCAGCCACTACACTGCGGAAGAAGTCCAAGCCCACGGCCTGGCGGAGGCAAGTGTGTCCATTCCCAGTCATAGGAAGGGTCAACCCAGCC